AAAAAAAAGAAAAAAGACATAATGAATGAAATAGGGATTAATATGCCTCTGAATTTAGATGTAATAAAACATATGCAAAAATATACAATCAAAGATATAAAGCTTAGCAGTAATATGTAAAAACAGATATTAGGAACTTTCCTAGTGGAAAAGTAGATTCATATGATTAATCTCCCTAGAGATACATACTATAAAATGTAGACAAAATATTTTAAAAGAATATTACTTGAAGGTACTGGACAGAAAAAAAGGCAGAACCTAGAAGAATCTACCCTTGGAATACAGGAATATACCTCTAAGTCAAACTTCTGTCTGAGAGCAATTCCCAATCTGTGTCTCTTAGAGTGGCAAAACGTCAGAGCCTAACTGGCTTGAGGAGTTAGAGCACAGTGTTCAGAGCCTGCAGCACAAGCAAGTAAGGGAGAAAACCCCGCAGACACAAATCTTAAACACATAATGCTAAGCAGGAGCCAATATATAGGAGTTTGTACCACATCATTCTATGCATATAAACTAAGCCTTAGATGGACAAAAGTAATCTAGTTTTTAAAAAAAAATTAGAGCTGGGCGCCCTGGCTCATGCCTGTAATCTTAGCACTCTGGAGGGCAGAGGCAGGAGGATCACTTGGGTCAGGAGTTTAAGACCAGCCTGAGCAAGAGCCAGGCCCTAAAAATAGAAAAAATGGTGAGAGTGTTCAGCATGCCCTCTGGGTGAAGGGCTCAACTACAACTTGATCTTTATCTTAGAACTGAATACAATGTAACCTAAACATTTGTATCCCCATATTATGAAATTTTTAAAAAATCAAAAAAACAACCCAGGCATGGTAGGGTGCTTGTAGTCCAACTACTTGGCAGGCTGAGGCAGGAGAATTGCTTGAACCCAGGAGTTTGAGGTTGCTGTGAGCTATGACACCACAGCATTCTACCCAGGGCAACAGAGTAAGACTCTATCCTAAAAAAAAAAAAAAGTAAACAGTAGTTGCCTGGGGTGGATAAGAGAGACTGACTGGCACAAGACAGAAGGAAACTTTCTAGAAACCACAGAAGCATTCCACATTATGATAGGATTGTGGGGTTTTGCATAGATGTATTTCTGGCATTTCTATATATGTAAACTTCATAAAAAAAAAAAACAAAAAAACTCCAAACCTCTAACAATAACTTGTGTAGGGGAGATGGGAAATGGCTGTTAGAATATGAAACAAGGGGGCGGCACCTGTGACTCTGTAGGTAGGGTGCTGGCCC